GCCACCCCCTTATATCGATGATTACAGTTTAGGTTGAAAGTTGAAATTACTACATCAAGACCAAGAAGAAAGGTTGGAAATAAATAAGGAGTAGGACACGACAACTTAAAATTCTCTAATCCAGACTAGACTCCGTAATCAGGCTGTCCTACGCCGCGCCGTAGCTCAGAGTCAGCTTTTCGAAAAGCCTTCGGTTTCCGCTTCTGTTCTCGCGTTTAAACAGTGGATCTGTAACCGCTTGCCTCACATATAAGACTGATTAACTCAGATCTGATGACATTTGTATTTATCTCTATTTTATGCAATCTTCGGAGGTGAACATTTTTACAGTCGCTAACATAGTAGATTTGAACTCGTATCGAGCTTTTCAAGGCTACGGGATTACTTTGCTCGTCATATAGAGGGAAGAGCAACTCCCCTCCTTCTTGTCTCTCACAAACGATCTTTTATTTTCATATTTCCCCATTAAATCATGCGTGTTCGTCTAAAAGCATCCCCGATGCTCGATCGCTCGGAGCCCCTAACCTACAGAATTCAAGTTAGTAATCGTCAAAAGGCGGTCTTCCGTCCGCCATAAGTATTCCAAGCGACCCTCTGACACCATAACGCTACACTTATCATACCCAAATTGACATAATCAAATAAACGACAATTACAATTACTGCGTATTCTCAAAACCAAAACCACACGTTCACAATCACAGCAAAAAACACTCTCCACTCAAATCCTCATGAATTCCTAACTTGTTAGGTTCTAAAAACACTTACATACATGCAGTTCAGAAATCAGGCAAGGAGGCGAAAATAATTTTGAACTTTATTAATTTTCGAAACCAGAGCAAGATACATCAATGGGTGCAATGCCGCCCTAACTTTATTCTTCACTTCTCTCCTTCACATGCACGAAATATAATATATACTGCTAGATCCCCTGCTGCCACTTTCTAGTGCTGTTTGTCACTTTTTTGCTGTTAATGTTCCAAGTATCGGCGGCCACCCGGATAGACGTTGTCGGTGAGGCAGCCCTTGGCCACCGACCTGATCGAGTTGTCCGCCAAGCCCGTCAGAAATACCTTTGAAAAAAAAAACAATCAGCATTCATATACATTATTGGGAAGTCTTTCTCTCGATAAAAGACACTCTGTTCCAAGTGGCTATGTACAGAAGCGCTGAGCCTTTACGCTGACACTCTCAACTCGGGGGAGAGTGTCGGCGACATAATTTCGTACCCACAACTCAAGTAACGAGCGGCCGCTGCACTGATGCTCCCTTTTGTTGGGCTAAAGTGACTCAGAATGATCTACGCATTGACAAAATGTTCAATCAATATTTGAACAACAAACCACTCATTTCTCTAAGTGGACCCTGTAGCCATTGGGTATTTTGGGGTGGCCACCAACACCTCCCATCGCCCATAGAACGCCTCCGACACTGCCTTACTTTTTGACTGCATTAAATGACACCCTTGAAAATTCACTGCGCGATGAGTGGTCCTTCAAATTTAAGCTAAATACGCTCAAACCATTTAAAATAATTCACATCATATACTTTGTGCAACTAAGGTGATGCATGCACCCTAAGTCGGGAAAACTGTGGTAAGTTCGTTTACCTTTAAGTGATGGAGAAACAAGTATTAAAATCACTTGACTGCTTATATCGCATGTTTATCAAAAATTCAAAAGCAAAGAATATAGCCTGAAAATTCACCATTTCTTATAAATGAAACGTTTCGGAGTCCAGCTCCATCATCAGTTCAAAACCTAAAAACACAGGTACAAGCAATTAGCAGTAAATTCACATTGAAGCATAAATCGTCAAATGAGAAACAAACATGAATGAAGCAAATATGGGCTGACAAACCTATCTATTTACAATTTCGAGGGGATACGAGCTGTAGGCGGCATTTAAAATAGGTTTTTGTTCAAAAATATAAAATGAATCTAAATTCGCACGTCGGAAACACCGCTCATTGAGGCTAAAATTCGAAAATTATTATCGGACACTGGCACGTTGCACTGCTCGGCATGAACGCGTCCTGCAGAATGGGGGGGATGCGCAAGCAGGTTTCCTGTTCTAAAACTCTTTCCTTTATGCTCCGCCAGCCTAGTATAAAAGTTGTGATATGTCTTACCGACATACGAAGATGCGCATAGCGCACAACTATCTTGATAAACTAAGGACAATCGCAGAAGTACACCGAGTGCATCTTTATACATGAAACAGAACTGATTTTAACATTATTCACCAGCAATACATGAAAATTCACATTTGGGAGGTATTTAGAGAACAAACCTTTCAGCTCTTTAGCCATAGACGTCGAAGCGGGACCAATGTAAGGAAATGAACAATAAACAGCACTCCTATCGTCACGTTCCGGAATAACCTCAGAATATTGCTTAGATAAAAATTTCTTAATTAGAGTATATACCAATTGTCACGGAAACCCATTAAGTGAAAACGTACTGCATAAAAATTCGATTTCAGAGTGCATAGTATGGAAAGTTGAGCAAATACGATAGACCCGGTTTATTAACGTTTGAATACCATTTAATTTGAAACGAAATGAACAAGAGCTAATGAAGCTGGTGCTTAAACCGGTAAACGTCGATTTTCGGTAAACAGAGGTCTGAAAACGGCCATTTGACATTGCCATCAGGGAAAGATAAACTATTGTTTGATTCAAGCTCAATGATAAATTTGATGGACTTGTGCTGGAGATTAAGATAATCAAAGAAAAGGCCTACATGAGGTAGATGCTTGAAAATTGAAAAAGGATCATCGACGTACCGGTTCAAGTCTCGGCGGCCGCCCGGAAAAACGTTGTCGGTGAGGAAGCCCCTTGCCGTGCACCGACCTGATCGAGTTGTCCGGTAAGCCTGGCTTGTGGCTTAAAATCAAGAAGACAATTGGCCAGCCATGCAGCCTCGTGAAAACAAATGAAAATGTTTGCAAAAGTAAAGCTGAGAGGAAGACCCATGCCCAAGCCATAAATTTGTCTATAAAATTTGCAAACAAATACAGAAATTGAGTTTAAAACAGATAATTCAAGAAGAGATTTATATCAGTTGGGGTTCAAACCCATGACAAAGTCATTGACACTTTTAAACAAGAACTTGGCAGATATCGATAGTTTCATGGAGGGGTATATTGGTTAACAAATTTTCTACATCAAATGAAGCCATAGTCAAGTCCTGAACATTAGTGAAATTCTTTAAGCGATCCACGAACATCTAAGTATTGTACACCGTATATTGATTGACGGTGAGAAAGTTCAAAACCGGAACTAAAAATTCAGCAAGTTTGAAGCTCGGAGTATTGTAAGTAGCAAAGATCGGGCGGAATTTAAATTTCAAAGCAAAATCTGGTTTTTGAATTTTGGTAAGCCATACAAAATACCAGGGCAAGAGCAAGAAGCATAAAGTTTGAAGTAATTTTCAAATGAAAGTGCAGCAGAATCTTTATGTTTTCTTATGAAATTATTTATTTGTCCTCAATCTTCAAAATTTAGGATTTTGTTGCTGCTCCCCCATTCAGCAGTGCGCGTCCATGCCGAGCAGTGCTACGTACCAGTGTCCGATAGTGATTTTCGAATTTTAGCCTCTACGATCGGTGTTTCTGACCTGCGGATTTTAGAGTCCCTTTATATTTAAAAAAAAGCCTTTTTTGAATGCCGCTAATAGTTCATATCCCCTCAAAATTGTAAATAGATAGGTTTGTCTGCCCATATTTGCTTCATTCATGTTTGTTATATGACGAATTATGCTTCAATGTGAATTTATTGCTAATTGTTTAAACCTGTGTTTTAGGTTTTGAACTGATGATGTAGCTGGACTCCAAAACATTGTCCTTTATAAGAAATGGTGAATTTTCTGGCTATTTTCTTTGCTTTCAAGTTTCTGATAAACTTGCGATTTAAGCAGTTAAGTGATTTTATTATTTATATATGTATGATCAGAATACGGCGAAGATGGATGCCAGTGTTTTAGAAAATGTTGTGATCTACACCGAGAGTCGGCCAAGACTTCTTTAGACATCATCTTTTTGATTAAGTGCAAAGTTTACGGTGTTTTCCCTAAGTTTTTAAGGTTCAGACTCTACAAACGTTGTTAGCATACATCGTCATTTTACAAGTCATGGCAGAACAAGCTCCTTTGCAAGAACCTATACTCCAAGAGGAAAACCTTGAAAATTTCAACCGATTTGATCACCGGAATTAAAGCACGGGTTGGAAATTTATTTACCATCCTTGATGCCTTCGCAATCCGTCAACATGCCAGACGTCTAACCGAAGCGTTCAAGAAAACTAAGAGTCAGACCCATCAGAAGACACTCAACAACCTCAGTATCCATAATTAAATCCATGCTTGTAACCCTAATAAAGTTATTTCAATTTTAGTTCATACAACTTGGAACCTCGAACCAAATTCTTTCTGGCATTCGGGCTTGTATTTTGTCAGCTTGTTTTTAAATTGGACTTCTATAAATACTTTTTAGCCTTTGAAAGATTTGCTCTTAGCATAAGAAATGTTTCTGTTGCCAACCGTTCTGAATTTCTAGACAACTTGCAAAGCCTAGTTTACCGTCATTTTTACGGTTTCAAATCATATAAAATTTTCTCATCAGTTTTCCAACCCCGTGACACCATCTACTAATTAAAGGACTTAGACAAAAATAAGGACCTAATCATTTGTAAGCCAGATAAGGGCAAGGGATTTGTATCAGTTGATCGAAATCGTTACAACAGTAACCTTTCTACTCTCATTACAGTCCCTACCAGATTTATCGAAATTACAGATCCAATTGCTAAAACTATTTTGAAGATTGCGGACAAAATGAATAATTTCCTAAAAAGCTTAAAGATTCTGCTGCACTTTCATCAGATAATTACTTCGAACTTTATGCTTCTTGCTCCTGCCCTGGTATTTTGTGTGTCTTACCCAAAATTCATTAACCAGATTTCGTTTCGAAATTTCAATTTTGCCCAATCTTTGCTGCTTACAATACCCCGAGCTTCAAACTTGCTAAATTTTTAGTTCCGGTTTTGAACTGCCTCACCATCAATCAATATATTGTGAATATTACTTACATGTTCGTACATCGCTTAAAGAATTTCACTAATGTTCAGGACTTGACTATCTTCATTCGATGTAGAAAATTTGTTTACCAATATACCCCTCCATAAAACTATCGATATCTGCCTAAGTTATTCGTTTAAAAATTTCTATGAGAGTGTCGTGGGTTTAAATAGCAACTGTTTTAAATCTCTTCTTGAATTATCTGTTTTAATCTTAATTTTGGTATTTGTTGGCGAATTTTATAGACAAATTGATTGTTTGGGCATGGGTCTTCCACTCGGCCCTACTTTTGCAAACATTTTCATGTGTTTTCACAAGGCTACATGGCTGGCCAATTGTCCTCTTGATTTTAAGCCACTTCTATAACCGGCATGTCAAGGACACTTTTTTAATTTTCAAGCATCTATCTCATGTAGGCCTTTCATTTGATTACCTTAATCTCCAGCACAAGTCCATCAATTTTTCATGGAGCTTGAATCAAACAATAGTATATCTTTTCTTGATTGCATTGTTACAAAATCAAATGGTCGTTTTCAGACCTCTGTTTACTGAAAATCGACGTTTGCCGGTTCAAGTACCAGCTTCTTTAGTTTTTGTTCATTTAGTTTCAAACTAAATTGTATTCAAACGTTAATAAACGGAGGCTTTCGTATTTGCTCAATTTTCCATACTAGGCACACTGAATTTAAAATTTTACGACGTTCTTAATGGGTTTCCGTCACAATTCGTATATATTCAAATGAAGATATTTTTGTCTAAGCAATATTCTGAGGTTGTTCCCGAACGTGACGATAGAAATGCTGATTATTGTTCATTTCCTTACTTTGGTCCCGCTTCGGAGTCTATGGCTAAAGAGCTGAAAGGTTTGTTGTCTAAATACCTCCCAAATGTAAATGTTTATGTATTGCTGGTGAATAATTTCAAAGTCAGTTATTTCTTCAAGTATAAAGATACACTCCATGTTTCTATGCGATCGTTCCTAGTTTATCAATATAGTTGTGCGCGTATGTCGGTATGACATCTTGAAGCTTTCATGCAAGGCTGGCGGAACATAAAGGAAGTAGTTTTAGTACAGGAAACCTGCTTGCGCATCCCCCCCCCTCCCATTCAGCAGTACGCGCCCATGCCGGGCAGTGCAACGTGCAAGTGTCCGATAGTGATTTTCGAATTTTAGCCTCTACGACCGTGTTTTCGACCTGCGGATTTCAGAGTCCCTTTATATTTTTAAACAAAAGCTTATTTTAAATGCCGCCAACAGTTCATATTCCCTCGAAATTGTAAATAGGTTTGTCTGCCCATATTTGCTTCATTCATGTTTGTTTCTTATTTGTTGATTAATGCTTCAATGTGAATTTATTGCTGATTGTTTGTACCTGTGTTCAGGATTTAAACTGATGACGGAACTGGTCTCCAAAACGATTTTCTTTTTAGGAAATGGAGAATTTTCTGGCTATTTTCTTTAATTTTAAATTTTTGATGGGAAACAAGAGATGATTAACTTTTAATTTCTCTTCTGAATGACAGAAATGTATAACTAACCTACTTTTTAGCTAAGTCAACTTGGTGTAGGAACAAGCCGAGCAATGTTCTTTATTTTTCGGTTAAACTACCGCCAGGAGGCATGCCAGTATGAGTAGAAGCCTGTTTAAAAATCAACACAAGGCAAGCGTGGTCATTTTAAGGTTCTGCTCTCCCCATTGAAGTTTCTACTCACCGCATCGACGATTTCCACGTGTAGGCTCGCGTCGTATTCATTGGGGTAGATGCACAGCGCCTCCCCGGTGAAGTTCAGGCCTCTGAGACCAAATATAAAAATATCAATAAATTCACATGAAACATTTTAATTTCATGAGGCATTGCCCCTCACTTCATGAAGCTCGCTTCTCCGCTCCATGTACGTTGCACGTACCGTGGCCCATAGGCTCACTTATCCTCGTTATGTGACGCTCGAATACTTTTTCACTGAAGCATGGGTACGAGCTAAGGAGCTCGTATATTCGTTTCGTGAGACCTCTTTCTTATTTTGTGACTCTAGGATATTCGCTGCATGCATCAAGAAATTATCTTTCGCTTACCTTGCACTTATCTTCTCTTGTTGAGCCAGATACTATTTTAGTTAAAAGGCCGTTTCCTATATATTTTTATTTGATATGTATCCATAATTGCTAATTTAATCGTACAAAATTTGATGTAAGATGCATGAACTCCGTTATAGCGCTCACCCATCTATACATCACAAGAGTTTAGTTACACCACATCCATGACTATATGACAGTAAACCAAGGACAGTATCCGTCACCCACGATGTTGAGTTGACGTTCAAAGGCAAGACTTACGTGAAGAAAGTCCACGGCGATGGCCCACTGACGATCAAAGAAGACACCCTCAAGTCGAGGTCCAATAAGGAACTGGCGTCTGTGTCGCCCCGAAACTCGTCCCCCGCGTAGCTGATGCCCTCGTAGAGGTTGTAGTAGTCGTCATCCAAGGCGTAGGGGCTGCCGGCGTACCGTAGAGAAGACGCCTGTGAAGAAATATTGGGCGAAATTGTGAGTAAATAAGTACAAGAGACTCCAACAGTTTCAAGTCTACCTCTCGGGTAAGTGATGGTCATATACGGTCCTAATAATGATGGGCTTTCTTACCGAAAGCCCGAGCAGAGAGTAGACGTAGCACGATACGCCTGCCCTTTTGCCGGGTCAAACTGGACCAATTTGACCCACACAAGAGCAAAACGTGTGTTGCTATTTGGGCAGTGAGCTTATCATTACACTGAGTGTGATGATGTCAACTTGTTGTCGTTTCATTTCTCTGCTTACCGTTGCTGGGTATGAAATTTCCTCTGTCAGGTTGTTGCACCAATCAATTCCGAATTGCAAATTAGCAGCCAATTTGTGGTAGTTTGGCGTCACGTACAACATCCAACTGAAGGAGAATGGATAAGTTTTTCATCATTATCCAGCAATATTCATGTTAGCAGCAATGTGATTAATTTTAGTTTAATTCAGTCACATTAACTGGTCAACACTTTTTCTACCTTACTACCAGTGTTGCAACCTTCGAAAAATTGCCAAAATATATTAGTAAAGTGTCTCCGGTGGCCAACCGTAATCCTTTCCCAATAATTGCGTCAATTTCTGCAACTGTTGAATGCCGAATCAATATTCTTACTCTGGAAATAATTTAAAACCAGTAAATATGTTTTGAACTTGTACTTTATTGCAGAAGCATTATATTTACTCTTCCCGTAATAAAACCAAAAGTGAAATAAAATAGCAGTCTACTGCAGTTCTAATTATTCTCCTATTCTTCTCATGCGGTGTAGTTTTGGTGGGTGGAATAATTCTCTTCCATGTAAACTAGTGAACAAAATCACTTAAACCGCGTAGAAAAGTAGCACAGTCTAAAATTCACTAATTTAAGTAAAGAACGAAATTAATTAACGTCAATTAGCGGCAGGTAAGCAAAACAACGCCGTTGTAATTATAATCGTCAACTCCCAATTACCATCCCGCCGAAAAAATTTTCACGGAAAGTTGCACTACCGGTCAGGGCTGCATATATAGAAAATAAGATAAAGATTCTTCAAGGAACTTTAATCTTGGGAATTCATGTTCCATAGGCAACACTTGATCGAAAGTAAACTTGGCAAGAGCTTTCCTTCTAGGTTCAATGTACGTATCGCTGCGATGAATATCGGTCATAATGAAATAGATCCAAGAGGAAAAACTTTAGTTCCCGGACACGCTAAGTACACGCCGTTTCCTTCCTAATATTCCAGTGAATGCACCAAAATAAATTGAGAATACATTAAAAAATCACTCGCAATTCCATAGTTTGCCATCTGAAATTTTGGGTATGAGAGGAATGGAATAGATAAACTGCCGTTGAAATTCACATTGCAATCGCTTGTCATTTACACAAGGGGTAACTGCAGCCTAATACCTGAAATGTAGCTTCCTTCAAAATTCCTAATTGTTAAAAAACGGCAGAAATAGTGCTTGTGGGAAGCCAATTCGAGTCTTATCCTTTACCAGAAATCTTTGCTACGCATCACTTCATTCGCTCTATTACCTAATTTGCCAACTGACGTTTTATTTTAAGTTTCATGCATCTTAGATTCTAGATAGCTTACAGTCCAGTCAGACAAACGCGTCTGATGGAGTCATCCATGCCCTGGACGCTGAGGTCGGGGGAGTAGTCCAGGAACTCGTAATAAGAACCGGCAGGATCATAGTCGGTATAGGCGTCAAGGTACCGGGAGAGGAAAGGTCCTTCTGATGGAGGAAATGTACTGCATTCGTTTCAGTATGAATTCAGACCGTTTATGAAACGCGGAAATGCACTATCAACGTAGCAAATCCACTCTCAATTTAACACAAACCCAGTCGAGTGTGGCGACTCTAGGTTCACAATCACAATGTCTTGTCCAAGGTCAAGACGTATGGATGAAGGACAATATAAAGATTGCACAGAAAAATCTCGCTGGGAACTGAATGCTATCTCGAAATTTTAGTTTTTTTTTGTAACTAATCAGTAATGACCGCATAGGCTCAAGCTGAGGTTATTATTCTCATGCGCAGAATAATATCTCCGGTATGATTAAATAAATTTAAAGCCTCTCTCCATAGTCTCTATAATGTTACCCTAGCATATTAGTTCAATAATCTCTTCTTGCCTTATCAGGGAGTTCTTACCGATGGCTTGGGCGAGGAAGCAGGATATCAGTACCACGAAGGCAAGGCAGATGCAGACAAACGCTCTCATCTTCTCAACGTGTGACGACGCACTGCAACAAGTTGACGTGAGAACTGCCTTAAGAGCCAGCAGTGACACGGCAGGTGTCCTTAATTCCCACGCCTGAGTTACTTGCAGGTGTGCTCTGTGCAGGTCAATCTGAACTGGTCAGAAGATTGTGTGTGATAAGGCAGTTTAATTAACCTGGTCTAATCAACTAACCTGGCGCAGCGATAAGAAGAGCGTGTGCGGTAAGACAGGTTAACCTGGTCTAATCAACTAACCTGGTGCTCCTCAGAAGATTTTGTGTGGTAACGCAACTTAACCTGGTCTAACCAACAACACGATGTTGTTTATGTTACTATTCAACGCTAGTTTAATGAATAAGAAACTACAATAATGGTTATCAGGTTTAGAAGAGTAAGCACAACATGATGATATTCATGATTGTGAGCTTCAAGCGTATAAACGAGAAACCAAGTAGAATGTAAAGTTAAAGGGGGAAAACTTTAGGAAAGCATCTTGAATTCATTTTCAGTGTTTTGACAGAACACATTCAATATGTAATATGACTATATAATAAAAAATCTCAATGAAGATATAATTTTGGAGCATCCAATTATATTACAATAACATGAAAATAGTTTTTGTGCTCAGTTGTGTAAAAATTTTAGCCTGATTGGCCAATGATTCATGATTGTGTTTTCCTATTTTTACAGCAATTTTCCTAGATGTCTCAGCTATTTTTGTGGCTGCGGCTTACTCGCGTCGAGAGCGAGGCAATTGCTACCACGGTGTGAAATCCTTTCTCTGTCCTCAGATCGGGAAGATGTTACTCTTGAGCTTGTAGTCTTTGCAATACGACATCTGAGCCAACACGGATCTTGATGCAACGGGCGTCTTTCAGGTGGCCGAGGAATGGCCTGCTGTCGCCTAGAGTAAATTGGCTCGGGCCGACCGTCGGCCACCTCTGTTTAGGCCCTCCTTCCCTAACAAAATTTAGAGACGAGGGCGGCTCTGGATTAAATACCGCCTAGGACTCGGGGAGCATAGTCCACCAGCATCCCTATGTCCGCGTTTCGGTCTACATTCCGGTCCCCGAATCAGACGGCTACCAGAGCCTGGTCCTTATTCTGGCGGCCGTTGAGCGATACGTATTAAGGTCGCCCCCATATTCGGGGAAGGTCTGGCCGAGTGGGAAAAATCGCTAAAAAAAATTCCCCCCTTCCTCCCACTGGGGAGGAAAGAGGGGGGAGCGATTCTTCTCCCCCCCCCACTCTCTTCCTCTACAGTGGGAGGAAGGGGGAGAGAAGTTGAATATTTACGTTAGTTCCTTTACAATACCTATACTATTTACGTTTGTACTTTCCAATACCTGTATTTACGTTAGTTCCTTTCGATACCCGTTTTCTAGTCGCTGAAAATGATATAATACAATAATACAAGAAGTCTCTGAACACTATATTATTCTGAACACTATTTAGATTCCACCAATACATATTAAAATTTCAGGTAACAATTTGAAGCGAAAACATGCGCGGTCCCTCTAGTTCAACATTTTTTCCATTCTCCCCACACAAGTGTGAGTAACGCTTAACATCCAATTTGAACATGAAAAATAACAATTTGAACATGAATATTTGAAAAATAAAATTTAAGAATATCCTTTACTTTTATCCTTTTTATCTTTTTATCCTTTAAAATTGTTTATCCTTATAGGCTTCATCACTAACTATTGCACAACTCTTTCTTCAACACAAAATCACGATACAAGAAGCCTAAATTTAGAACTTATTCTCATTCAATATTCTTGCGCCAATATTTTATTAATTTTATTACTTTGAAAACTTAACACTAGCTAAA